GGGTCGGGGGCCGCAGCTCTGCTGGTGCGGGGCTGGCTGTGTCCTCCGCCACCCCCGGCGCGGTTATCTGTCCCTGCTACGCTGGTCCGTCAGCCTTCAGCCTCCCGATACGGGAACGGCCCGCTAACCTGCCCCTGCTGGGCATTCTTCAGACTCCATTAGGTACGCCCTCTTTTTGATTCTGGAAATGGTTTTATTAAAAACAGGATGAATTAGGAGTCCGGGACGGTTTGCCAAGGACCGTCCCCCGAGGCAGGGGGAGGACCACAGGAGGCAGCCACCCTCCTCCCCCGAGCCGTACTCAGGGCGCGCCTGTCCCGCGCTGCTCCGCCCAGGCCTCTCCGCCGGGTCCTCGCCTCACCCCGGCCGCGCTCCGCATGCTCGGCCTCCGATCCTTAGGCCTCTTCCCGACCCTTCCTTCCCAGCGGCCGCCCAGGCAGGGATAGAGACCAGGGGTGCAAGAACCACGCTGGCCTCACAGCCCAGGCCCCTTTCCTCGTGTGTTTTAGGAGAGATCACGCTGCTTCTTCGGTTGAGGCGCACTAGCGGGAGACCTGCTTTTCTGCCTTCCTGCTCCGCGGCATTTCCACTTCACTAGAGAAAAACGTCCTGCTGCCCCATTTAGCAATTGGCACAGCCTCGCCACCGCCAGGGCTCCGCTGGCCTTGTTTCCTTTCAGTAGCCAGTGAGTTAGGTACTGCCTTCTGAGAGGCCTGGACTCGTCCCTCCTGGTTCAACTAAATACATAACGCAACCCCTACCCCCAGGACGCTGACAATAGAAAGGAGGAGACTGTCCGCGGAGCAGACGAGTGCGGCTGTAAGAAGAACCCGGGATTTTCCAGCCTTACTTTGCACCACTCCCCTACATGCACAGTTCCCTGTGGGTCAGCTGGCTCTGCCCGATTCCTCCAAGAAGACACCTTTCCATTTCACAGCCCTTCTTAACACTGTTCCTGCGCCTGCAATGTCCTCTCCCCAACATCTACCTGTTGGAAGCATTTTCACTGTTCCTCGGCTCAGTCGGCTGTAATATCATCGCTTCTGATTGCTCAGAGGGATGCTTCCCACTGTGGCACTTGCTCCCTGGTTATTTCCATACCTCTCTCAGGCCACTGACAAGACTCGGGTGTGTCATGCTGCAGTGCCCCTCACAGTGCAGGCCTCGATAAATGTTTGTCCGGTGTTATTGAACCCAATTATCTTGGGTGCTGATACTAATTCTGGAACTGGCATGAATTTGGTTCTTGCTATGGACCGAATTTTGTCCCCACCCCTAAAGTGTGTGCCGAAGCGCTGAACCCTAGTGTGATGGTTATTTGTAAATGGGGCCTCTGGGAGGTAATCAGGTTTGGATGAGGTCATGGAGGTAGTAGGTCATGATGAGATTAGTGCCTTTATTAGAAGAGACACCAGAGAGCTTGCTTTTCTCTCACACTCTCTGTCCCCTACCCCCAACCTCAGCCCCCACCTCCCTCCTCCATGTGCGAACACAGCAAGAAGGCTGCCATCTGCAAACCAGGGAGAGGTCCATCACTGAGGGGCCAAAGTGGCACCTTGAGCTTGGACTTTCCAGGCTTCAAGAACTCTGAAAAATAGATTTCTGTTGTTGAAGCCCCCCAGCCTATGTTATTTTGTTGCAGCAGCCGGAGCTGACTGACACAGCCGCATAATCACCGGCAAGTTCCTCCATCACTTGGGACTCTCTTTTCTTCTCTGTCAAATGTGAACATTAAAACCTGTCTCACTTCACCACTTTGTGTGATTGAACTTAAAATGAATGTACAATAGTTAAAAGCATGAAGTGACTTACATGTAAGGGGTAGGAGGGTAAAGCGATGTATTACCAAGTGCAGGTTCATCTACAAGTATGTGGGAAAAGTATGAAGTGACTACCTAAATCCTCATTCTGTTGTTGACCCTGTAGGACATGTAGCCCTTCTGGGGCCTATTACCTCACCTACAAAATCAGGGCCTTGAACTCAGGGAAAAGCAAGTGAGATATCTGAGTTCAGAGCAGTGGCCTGGATATTCATGCTTTGGAGACTATATCTTCAAGACTGAGCTCTAATATCGTGGGATAGTACAAGGATATACAGGAACATGATTTAGAGGGTCTTCAATCTAAACCTAGGTCTTGAAAGAAGTTTATTTGCATTTTCAAGTTATGGAAGGATCGTTACTAAGAGCTGATAGCCCCATTCATCAACATTCTGTACTTTAAAATGTTACTGTCTTCTTACTAAATGACACGGACAGGAGCATACCTGGTCTTGCAATTCTCAATAATTTTTCATCCCAGATATGCACATGTCAGTAACCAAGGCTTATGAGTAGTATGTTTTCATTTTATTATCTTTTGGGCATAAAAGCAAAAGACCCTAAAATAACCTCCTGGCTGGGTGCGGTGGCTCATGCCTGTAATCCTAGCACTTTGGGAGGCCAAGGTGGGTGGAGCACCTGAAGTCAGGAGTTCCAGACCAGCCTGGCCAGCATGGTGAAACCCCGTCTCTACTAAAAATACAAAATTAAAATTAAAAAAAAAAAAGCTGGGCATGGTGGCAGGCACCTGTAGTCCCAGCTACTTGGGAGGCTGAGGCAGGAGAATCGCTTGAGCCCGGGAGGCGTAAGTTGCAGTGAGCCGAGATTGTGCCACTGCACTCCAGCCTGGGTAGCAGAGCAAGACTCCATCTCAAAAAAATAAAAATAAAGTAAAATAAAATAACCTCATGTTTCTTCTACTTTCTTAAGAATCAGACTTTCTCCTAACTCTCTTCTATGCACACTTAAGATGTGTGCATTTCCTTGTTGAAAAAAAACAAAGCTGATTTTCCTAAATGTATACTTAACCTGAGCAGAGCCCTCTCATTAATTTGATACTTGTTTATCCAATACCTATTCAGGCTAGGTACATTTGGCTAGGATAATTGCTCCCAAATCAGGATGCTTTTCAAAATCAACTAAGAAGTGTATTTTTATTTTATTTTATTTTTGAAACAGTCTCACTCTGTCGCCCAAGCTGGAGTGCAGCGGCATAATCACAGCTCACTGAAGCTTTGACCTCCTGGAATCAAGCAATTCTCCAGCCACAGGCACCACCACACCCAGCTTTTTTTTTTTTTAACACTGTTGCCCAAGCTGATGTCAAACTTCTGAGCTCAAGTGATCCTCTTGCCTTGGCCTCCCAAAAGTGTTGGGATTAGAGGCATGAGCCACCGTGCCCAGCCAGGAGTTTATTTTTAAAAGGCACATTTTAAAACCCAATGTCAGAAATTCTAAATCTCTAATGCTAGAGTGACCTAAAGAAATTGGTATACATTTTTCCACCAGGCCCAGTGGCTTATGCCTATAATGCCAGCACTTTGGGAGGCCGAGGCAGATGGATTACCTGAGGTCAGGTGTTCAAGACCAGTCTGGCCAACAGCTACTACTAAAAATAGGAAAATTAGCCAGGCGTGGCGGTGGGCGCCTGTATCCCAAGCTACTCAGGAAGTTGAGGCAGGAGAATTGCTTGAACCTGGGAGGCGGAGGTTACAGTGAGCTGAGATCGTGCCATTGCACTCCACCCTGGGTGACAGAGCAAAACTCTGTCTCAAAAGAAAGAAAGAAAGAAAGAAAGAAAGAAATCAGTATACATTTTTAAAGCTCTCTAGATCATTCTAACCCACTAATATTCATGAGAACTGCTGCTCTGGCAGAGTGGTTACTTAATTCTCGAATATCGTGGACTGGGAAAAACACTTTTTAAGTGAAATAACTAATTTTAAGTTACCAGTTGTTATGTTTTGTTTTGTTTTCCAAATAAATGCATTAAATTAAAATGCAACTGTATTATCACCACCATATCACTAAAGAAACAACATTTAACAACAAAGTCAGGATAGTCATCTTTTGAAATTTAAAAATTGAGGCGGGGGCGGTGGTTCACACCTGTTTTTCCAGCACTTTGGGAGGCCAAGGCAGGTGGATCACAAGGTCAGGAGATCTAGACCATCCTGGCTAACACAGTGAAACCCGTCTCTACTAAAAAAAAAAAAATACAAAAAAATTAGCCAGGTGTGGTGGCGGGTGCCTGTAGTACCAGTTACTCAGGAGGCTGAGGCAGGAGAATGGCGTGAACCCAGGAGGTGGAGCCTGCAATGAGCCAAGATCCCACCACTGCACTCCAGCCTGGGCGGCAGAGCTAAACTCCATCTCAAAAAAAAAAAAATTTAAAATCGGATAACATAACTTTTTGGCCAAGTTAATACATTGCCTTTGTTGTTGTTTTCATTGCAAATCAGAATGGTGAATACTTTATAATGGAATGGCCCTGATTTAATATGTGTTAGAACCCTTGTTGTATGGGAAATAAGTATGAATCAATTCTATGCCTTGGCTTATAGCTGATCGCCTTTAAATATCTCCTTCCTTCTACCCAGATTGCCTTTCCCCCTCATCCACAGCCGACTCAGTATTTAAGACTTGGTTCAAGTGTCACCTGTTCATGGAGGTTTTCTGCTCCTCCCTTTCTTCTTCGAAGCTGAGTTTGGTGCACCTTCTTTTTGTTCCCCCTGACATTCTGTATGTACACACCTCTGTCATACTATGTGTAAACTAAGCATTAGTTGTTTATTTTCCTTTCAGTTTCCTTAATTATAACACGAGTCCCTTGAGGGGAAGAACCATGT